AAGGTTCAGGACTATGTTAATTTCCACATAAAATAGTTACTTTTTAAAGGGGTTGTTACTACTAGAAAAATTGGAAAACACTCTCAGCATAGAAACAGCTCAAGGAGGATGGCCCTGACTTGAATGACCCTGGAGCCCAAAACATTGAAAGCACATTAAAATTTATTAGCATGAAGTCCAACAATGCAGTGAGAATTTCCACTACAAGCTGAATGAGTATTAACTGCAAACAAAGCAGGAGTCCTCCCATGAACCTTTAGTCCTTGAATGAGTATTGTGTAGACAACAAAAAACAAACCCTGGAAATATAGCTGCAGCTGAAGCACTGATGCTTCTTCGAATATACTGCATGCAACATAAATTACTAATGTGAATGACAATTATTCACATCTTTTGTCTTCATTTTGCTTAAACTCTTCCAACATCTCTTTCTGGGGTCTTCTTTTTTTACGATAGCTTAGCAGAATTTCAGTCAATTAGAAGGTCACTGACACCAAGAGTGCCACGAGCAGCACACTGCATGAAGACTCAAGAATAATCTGAACCTGTCTTTTTTAGTGATGTAGGCACAAGAGGCAGGAGGCCCTTGGGTATGTTCTTCAAATCAACACGCTCATGCAATGTTAGACCCATTCTCCAATAGCTCCGCAATTCCCTCCCCAAGAAAAATTTCACAAACAGGGTTTTTTAGAATCCCAGATATGTCCTGAGTTCAGAACAACTGTTTCACTTTAGGAATCCCATACTCTAAGAACCACTGGTAAAATATTGAATAATGGCCCATTACCACATCTCCCCAGCTGTATAAAGCTGCAGAAAGGCAATGGCATTATTTTTCTCTCTTATCCAACAAAAGGCTCAAAGTTGTCATGGGGGAGAACCAGAATGCTCTGCACCCCGATGTGCACAGCTGCTCACACTGCGATCAACACTGCTTTGGAGCACCGAAACAGAGGAACCCCAAACCCCACTGCTCTGAATCCTAGGAAGGAAGGAGGTACTAGTGGAAGGGGAAGTGCACCCAGTTCAGGCATCACCGACTCCAGCCCACACTGGATTTTCAGAGTGCCCCAAGGCACAGGGACTGAGCACTGCCAACCTTGCCCGAGCCCTCTCCTCCCACACAAGGCACACAGCTTATTTCACTCTCCAGAAAAAAACCACAAGGCCTGTTTTATTTTTGGGCAAGCAACGACAGAGGCCTTTTGGCAACTCTCAGCTGACAGAATACACCTCACATTTCACCCACTGACCGTGTCTGACGGTGAAACTAAAGCAGGTCAACAAGTGTGTCTGTGTCCCTCCCGGGATTTCTGCACTACAGCGGTTTCCTCAGAGCCCTCCTGCTCTCCCTCTGCACATCCCACTGGAGATGCCTCCAGCAAAACCCTGATCTCTCCCCTCCCAGGCCACCTTTCCCTTTTAGTGGAAAGGACACTCTCAGAGGTCACACTCAAGAACACAGAGATCAGATGGAGTACACAAGCTGCTTCCAACTTCCTCACTCCCATTCCTCACAGTACTCTCGCAGTCCCCTCCCCTGCTTCTGAAATCGCCCCGGTGGCCAGCCCGCTCCGCTCCCCGTACCTGTTGCAGCTCTCCGCTCGGCTCCAGCCGGGGCTCTCCAGCTCTCGCCGGTCTCCGTCTCCAGCTCGCAGGAAGGATGCGGGCAAGGGCTCTCTGCCGGGGGCAGCAGTGCCGCTGGCAGAGCTGGGCGAGCAGCCCCGCTGACCCCGGGCAGGGCTCTGCTCTCCCCGCTCGGCAGCGGCGTTGCCTCGGAGCCGCGCAGCCGCCGGCGGGGCTGCAGGAGCGGCTGCCCGGCCATGCACGAAGCCCTGCCTCCGCTGGCTCCTCGGGAACCGCCGCTTCCAAACCAACTTATCGGGCTTCCAGATGTACCTGGGGGGCAGACGAGGGGAAATTGTGTTTTGCATTGTCGACTGTGCATTAACTATTCCCTGAGTTAACTGCATTTGACTTGCTCTTCTGTTGACCAAACTCCTCGTCTCCTGCTGGAGTCATTAATCTGTACCTTCTCATCGTTTGCGCAGAAGAGAGTTGGTTTGTTTCTCCCTGTCCACCCCCTTCGCCCCCACACGCAGTCCCTAAAAACCCAACAATTAAAAATGTGGATTTTCCCTTTAATTCCCCTACATTGTGTAATTATATTCGCATTAGAAATCAATCAACATTGGTCATTACCATCAGTGATATGCTCATAAAGCAAACACTAGACATGCTAATGAACTGAATGAAACATAATTTCTTGTTGTGTAAACTCATGCTCAACGCTAATCAGCAATAAATTCAATCAGACATTACATACATCAACTGAAAACACATTAAAGCAGGGTACCGAGCAGCTCATTTCTGGGGGCAGCGCGGCCCCGAGCAGCCCAGCAGTGCCCGGGCCGGGGACGAGGCCGCCGGAGCCGTGAGGGGACACGGCCTCCCTGCGAGGGACCCCTCGGTGATGGGGCCGTTCGCGGCTCCCGCCCGCTGCTTACCGGCCGTGGCAGGGCTGCCGGACAAAGCCAGTCCCTTTTCTGTCTCCGGCTCCGCGCAGCCCGGACAGCGGTGCCCGCGGCCAGACTCACCGGCCTGTCCGGCTCCGCCGCTTACAAATGGCACCCGTGTCCAGTTCCCTCGGCTCCGTCGCCCCCTCAGAGCCCGTTCTCCTCCCAGGACCCGCCTGTGTCTCGCAGGGCCCAGCGTTGCCCAGGCAGGAAATTGCCCTTGCCTCGCCCGCCCAGGTGCGGCCGGTTTCCAGGATGAGAACGGGCTCCGAGCAGGTGCAAGCATTTAACAATTAACCATTTAACATTTCCCCGCTATAAACAAGGGGACAAAGCACCAGCTATGGGTAGAGATGGCGATAAGCGTGGGTGTGACCGGCTGGCCTGGGGAAGCCCAGCTCGCCCCGTCGGGCCGGGCGGTGCCGGGCCCGGGAGGCTCTGCAAGGACGGCTTCCTCCAGCTGGCTGCTGCTCCCTCCAGCCCTTTCAGAGGGCACCTCCACAGCCTTCCTGCCCCTGCCCGCCGGGGGCGCAGGGATGGCAGAAAGGGGCTGTTTTTAAACACAACGCGTCTGCTGAGGTAAATCACCGGGCCAGCCCCGCCGCCGCTCGGATGCACGGCCCGCGCTTCCCCGACACCGAGACCGGGGAAGCTCCGGGCCGAGCTGGGGCGGGGAGGCGGCGGGACCCGCCCGCCCCTCCAGGGAGCCGGGGCGGGGTCCCGGACCATGACCCGCTCCCAGGACCCAGGGAGGCTTCCCCGGCCCGGCGTGACGGGGGTTTCGGGGCGGCGGCGGCTTTACCTCCTCAGCCAGGAGTAACTCCCGCCCCACCCGGGGCCTCCGGGTGGCCCCGAGATGCGGGGCTCGCTGAGGGGAGCATCGCTGAGAGGAGTGGCGGGCTCGCTGCACGGAGCAGACGAGGCTGTTTCAAGCAGCCACAGCGGTGTTTTGTAACAACCGCAGAGCAGCGATTTGCTGCGATCGGAGTAATGTAATTTCCAGCTGCACAATATTAATGAGACGCTCAGAACCAGGGGAAAACTTTCAGCGGAAGGTGGCGAGTTTATTTGTTTCGCGTTAAGGGAGAGGAGGGAAAAGGAAAAAACAAAAGACAAGCATCAGCATCATCAGCCCCCGCACCTGCGGCGATCACCGGGATCCCCCGCGGCGGGCCCGGGCCGGGAGCTGCTGCCTGGCTCCGACGCGATGAGGCGGGGAGGGCACAGGGCCGCCTTCCTTTCTCTTGTAACCTAGTAATTTTTGTTCCTTCCCCCTTTTTTTTTCCCCACTGCCCGCTCCCCGCCGTCACGGGAGGCAAGGTCTGCTCTGCTTGCCCTGACCATGCCGTTCTGGAGGGGAGGGCGTGAAGGGGGCACGGGGCTGGGAGGCGGCGCGGTGTGAGAGGCTCCAGGGGAGAGTAATAAAAGAGCCTCGCGTTGAGAGCGGAGCGTGCGGTCAGAGAATGCGATGTGTTGGTTATCTTGAGCAGTTTGTAATTCCAGGTGAACGCAGCCCGGCGGCATTATTCCTTCTTCACGAGTCTCAGTCGTTCCGTCGCACGGCTCCTGGCCAGCAGGTGCCGAGGCTCCCGGCGAGCTGCTGGCAGGGCTTGAGGAGGGCCGGCCCGAGCCTCCCCTGCTCCTGCGGGGCGCGAAGCAGAACCTGGGCCAGGCGGCAACCGAGGGGCCAGAAGGCGTTTTGGCCCCCGCGCCGCGGGGTGACAGGGGAGACGGAGCTGACAGCAGGCTGGAGTATTCCACTTGGAGTCCAAGGGCCGCGGCCATCCCCGGCCGACCCCGCTCCCCACCGCCGCCCCTCGCGGAGCGCGTCCCCGCCCGCCCCGCCGGCCTGTTTCCAGGGCAGAACCTGTGAATAAAGCGAGAAGCGTTGCTTATTGTTCTCGTATTAATCCCCCCCTCCCTTCTTGGAGATAATTATGCTCATTCCCGGGAGCCGGGGATTCGCGCGGCTCCGCTGGTGCCGCAGCCGAGGCAGCCCCGCCACGCACACAGCCCGGGGATCGTTTCACCGATTTATTTCACATTAAAATTTAGATACAATCGAAATCCTCGGTACGCACCTTTTAATAAAAGTAGTAATCTCCTTGAGTACTGCAAAATTATAGCATTTATATCTTCAAAAGACGGTAAACAAGTAATACCAGCGAATCAATAGTACCAGCCTCGAGTGGACATGGTCAGGTGGTTTTAGGCGGCTGTATAAAATGCAATCGGGTTTAGAGAATAGAATACAGATAAATGCTATAAATAATTGGATATCAGAAACTTCCTCCCATCGACGGGTCCGCTCGGGCTGCCAGAACCGCCCGCAGGGCTTGCGGGCCCCGTGCGGGGGGAGCTGAGAGCAGCGCGGCCAGGGGCCGCACCCCCCGAGCCGGTCCCACTGCAGCAGCCCCGGGACCCCGCCGAGCCTCCTTCCCCCGCCTACCTGCATTGAGAAACCTTATTTCTGGTTAAGAAAAATAAAAGTCCCATTTAAACTTTATTGAATTAAAGCAAAAATTAATTTTCAATATTCACACATATATTACAGAGTAATAGTAAAAGTTCAATATACTTCCTGGCGTTTAGTTGGGCCACGTTGTACAAGAGCAAAACAAGCATCAAAACATTTAGCAGCCTTAAATTTCACAATCACTCAGAATTACATATAAATATTGAAATACTCTAGTCAGCCTTGGCTGTGGATAGTTCTTCATGTAGAAATTTTTCCTTTTGCCAGCCAATACACAGCAAGAATTGCATTTTCCCTTCCATCATGGCATCCATGTATTCAAAAAATACTTTGCTTTTTTTCTTTTTTTAAAAGTTAAACTCAGAGAAAGAGTCAAGATTAACATGTTTTAAAAACAAAACTACAAAATATGCTGTAAAGGACAACGAAAATATCTAAAGTCTACTTGTGTGAGGCAGAAGCCATGGGGGAACAATGGCAGATTACACCAATGACACAGAGATGGGAACTAATTTTGTGGGAGGAGAGAGAAGAATATAAATGGGGGTTTGATCAATTATAGTGTCTCCTGCCTGTTGGCTGCAACACAACAAAAATAAGTAGTAATTCTTCAAAGCAGATGTACACAAACCTAAGCAGGATTAAGCTTCTTTAATATTTGAATGTAAAAAGTCTGCTGTCCATGATTCTTCAAACCCAGCTCTGACTTGGGAATTTGTAAGAGATTTCTCACTTTACTTGGATGAGGAGTGATTTAAAGTGGGAACACTAGAAATCCAGAGAATGTTGAGTACTTCCAGCCTCCCATCAAGTTTCCTCTCTCCAGTTTTAGATAAGCTCTGTCTCCTTTTTCCATCTGAATCAGGACTCCATTGCTAGCAGCTTCTCGGGTCACATCTTGGTCCCCTGCAAAGGCAGAAATCACTGGCCACCCATTTAGCATCAAACTCACCTAAAGAGCAAGATAAAACAAAGCCCTCTGTCAATTAAAGTCAGACAATAACACCACTGGGGCTCGTCTAACAGGCAAAATGCTTAGTTAAGGAAAGGCCTCTTTTGACAGCTGAAACTCCAGCCCCATAAAAAAGAAATATGAATCTAAACCCAGCTAAGGTATGTACTCCAAAGGAAGAAGTCTTTCACCACTGTTTTAGACCAACAACCACATCAAAACACCCGGTGCATATAAAGAAGGACATTGATCCTATTTTGGAGAATTTCAATAGGGTGCCTGTGTTTTCAGGCTATGAAAAGAGGTCTGCTTGTACTTATTGAAAGATGGCTTTATGCGAAACCTCAGAGACAGGAGGAGCAGAGCCACAGCCGCCGGAGTCAGGGCCTTTGAAGTGCATTCAAGGGGTAGTTTTCCTTTGTTAGGCAGCAAAGACAATATGCCACAACACAGTCAATAAGCTCTGCTAAGCTCGCGTTAATGATCCTGGGACTGCATACCCCACATTAATAATACACTACCTGCCCAATCTAAAGGTGTTAAGCCACTTGCACGGTGGCTTATATATATTACGGTGTTATATAGCTGTCCATTCACCTTTGCAAAGTGCATCATTATACAGTCAGATTTCCTGTCTTTATTATGCTACCTGGCTTCAGGCCAGTAATTTATTAACCCTACCTAAAGCAGCATATGCATCAAACCCCATAGAAAAGGCAGGTACGTATAGAGTAGCTGCAGAGACATGCACAGATTCATTATCGTTTCCATACCATAAACATCTCCCCGAACCCCAAATCCCTATGAAATCTTCTGCCACAGGAGAGTGGGTGAGAAGCCCGCCAGGGGCCGCGGTTCCCAGGGGCTCTGTGCAGGGATGCTCCCGCCAGCGCTCCGCGGCACTGGGCAGTCCGAGGGCCCGGACAAGCTGGGAGGGGGCGGCAGGCGGCCAGCCACCTCCCATCCCGGGACGGCTCATGCGGGCAGAGGCCGAGCGAAGGCCTGTTGGGACTCCGAGGCCCCTTGGGCACCGTCCCCTCGGGCATCGTCCCCTCGAGCAGAGAATCGCTGCAGGTCTGCGCTCCCCTCGGCGGCCAAGAGGCACGTCCCGCCCCGCCGCCCGCACGGCCCCGACCCCGCCGGGCCGCCGACCCGTCCGCTCCCTCCCGCGGTGCCCGCGGAGCCCGGCGACGGCGCTCGGGGCTGACCTGGATGGTTTGCCTGTTGTACACTTTCACCACGTGAAAATTGAAACTGTAAATCCCTTTCCGGGGCGCGATGAAAGTGCTCCGCTCCGAGTCGAAGTTGCTGCCGATATTCACTAGTACCTGTAAGGGAAGGGCACAGTCAGCACCAACGCGGGGCCGCTGCCGCCCAGCCCCGCTGTCCCCCGGCCCCCAGCGCCCCCCCTCCCGCGGGCAGGGCCCCGCGGGGCGGCGCGTCCCAGCCCGGCCCCGCCACCGGCCCCGGCAACTTCTCCCGCGGCGGCGCGCCCCGAGCCCCGCCGCCCCGAGCCCCACCGCGCCCGCCCCACCTGGTCGAAGTAGATGATCATGGTGCGGTTGCTCATCTCGGAGGGCTCGTGGTTGGTGCTACGGATGGCGGAGAAGGCGACCTTGGCGCTGCCGGAGCGCACGGAGATGCCGAGCGCCGTGCCGGTGGGGTCGGAGGTGGGGTTGGAGTCGCACACCACGAGGCACTTGCCCTCCAGCACGATGGGCTCCGTCTCGTTCTGTCCGCACGCCAGCCACGCCGCGCCCAGCAGCAGCCCCAGCCCCAGCCCCAGCCCCGGGCCCCGCATGGCGCCGCGCTCCCTTCGCTCCGCGCCGGGCGGCACCGTCCGGGCTCCGCTCCGCTCGCTCCCCTGCCCCGCCGCGCTCAGAGCGGGGCCGAGCGCGCCCCGCCGGGTGGGAAGCGGCCGCGAGGAGGCACGGGAGCGCCGGCACACATAGCGCGGCGCGGAGCGCTGCGGTGCGGAGCGGGGACCGAGCGGTTCGGAACAGGAGCCGCCCGCCGCGCCGAGCGGGGCTGAGGGAGGCGGCGGGAGGCGGCGGCGCTGCCGGGGCTGCCGGCGAGCACAAAGACGGCGCGGGGCGCGGCCCCGCCTCCCCACCGGCCCCGCGCTGGCGTCAGCGCCCCGCGCCCGCCTCCGCCTCGCCCGGCCCAACCGGCGCCCGCCGCGCGCCGCCGCCGCCAATGGCCGCGCAGTCCGCGTGCCGCCGCCCGCCGCCGCCGCTTTTGTGGGGCGGCGCGGGCGCGGGCGCGGGAGCAGGTGCCCGACAGCCGCCCGCACCGCACCGCACCGAGCCGAGCCGAGCCGCGCCGAGCCGCGTAGGTAGGAGCGCCGGGGCGCGGAGACACCGCGCGGGGCTGAGGCAGGGCGGGGCTCGAGAACTGTGGAGCCGCTCGGACCGGGGCGTCGGGCAAAGCCGGGCTGAGGGCCCGTGGAGCGGAGCGGGGCCGCGGCTTTCCGCGGTGCAGCTGGGCCAGGCAGGCTGGAAGGGAGCGGGCTGCTGGCGGGGCGAAGGCCTGCCGCCGCCTCCGAGCAGCCAGAGCATCCCCGGCTGTGACCCCGCGGCCCTCCCGCCGGAGTCGCACCGAGAGATGGGTTACCACGGGTCCCCCTCGCAGAAGCGTCCGGGCTCCGCTGTCTGCTTCAGCCGCCTCGCTCGCATCCCGGGAAGGAACAAACCGCAAGGCTTCCTGAGCAAGCAACTCCGACAGCGTCTGGAGCCTTTCCCGGCCGGAGCAGCGCCCCGCTGATAAGGACAGTGCCCCGCCGGGACTCCCAGCTCTGCCCCGCCATGGGACCAGCCCGGAGCGCGGGTTTAGGGTCGTCGTTGTTTCCTAAAGCGCAAAGATTGCTTTGTCTCTGGACGTCTGACCCGTGTTCTTTCTGGATGCGCTGTCAAAAAATCATCATCCGGGATTGTAAATGAAGAGATTAGAAACAAACGATTGGAACAGAGTGCTTCTCTAACTGGCAAATCTGTTTACAAAGTTAAACTTCAGAGATAAAAACTTTTATGGAGTTTGTAGCATCTGCTCTGGGAAACTGAATGTGATCCAAAACTGAGCTCCAGTGCAAATCATTATGAATTTTGGTAAAGGCTTTACTTTATTTCATTGTGCTGTTCCGATTATGTGGTTCGTAAGATTTTTTTTTACCTGGGAAAGTGATCTTTCTCTCTGAAAACTGCCATAAATAAAACTTTATTGATATAACTGCCCTGCTAAGTTAAACGCGTATCTGTGAAGTTGTTCAGACAGTCTGAAGTGTCAGTCTGCCCGTGGGTTGGTACTGGCTGGCTGTGAGGGACGGGATGTAGCGGGAACCAATGGCATCAGGAGCCTCTGCAGGGAGGGTCAGAATACCCCGCACTTTTGATACTCAGCAGTGAAGCAGTCTGGAAACCAATGTAGTGGCAAAATGCTTATAGGGGAAGAACAGTGGTCAGAAAGGAGTTGGGGAGATAATAAAATAGCAACAAAAATTCTGAGAAGTAGAAAGTGAGTGGGTGGAGCCACAGCCTGTTAGAAGGTGTGTTATGTTTTACTTCAAGACACGAGTTTAAGATTTACAATGTATTATTGCTGCTGACAACTGAATCTGAAATCAGAATCAGAAACTTTAAAATAAAATTAATATTTCTAAGGGATACTGATAAGGCTAAACAAAATAAAAAATAGTGAAAATGAGCATTTTGCATTCTTGTCATTTTGGTGAGATAGCTTGGGGAAATAGGAACTGAAGGAGCATGGCTCTGCCCTTTTAATTTTTTTGAATGCTTGACTTGAAACATACATGTTCTTTCAACACACATGACTCATAAAAATATTATTGTATCATGTATTTCTCTTGTAAGACACTTCTTGTGGATGACAGAAATCAATTCTCTCATGCTATAGAGCTCTTTAGATGTAGCTTATGGATTTGAGTCCAGGAGGGTCTGCCAGAGCTGAAAGTTATTTGATGTGGTGAACCCTTGGCAGGAGGCTGTGTGGGCCTTCTACCCCCAAGCTCCTTGGCTACTCCAATGGCTTGGTGGATGGAGTTACCAGAAAGAACCAGGACAGGGGCACCTGGAAAAATGAACAAATTTCTCACTTTACCTTGCACAGGAGGTAGGCAGGCAGACAAGGGGGGTGCCAAGATTCCTGTGTCAGACACCCTTGTTGTCAGCGGCTTTCATTCTTGCACACTTGCCTAGCACTGTAGCATCCAGCTTCTGCTGCTCCGGCTGTAATAAAGTAACACCTGCCATGCAAATTAGACCTGACTTCATTTTCATTAAATGCCACATGCAGTGCTAGGCAGTTGTGTTGATCCTCTCTGTATTGCCAACAGTCTGACTCATATTGGGCACAAAGAAGAGGTGCTCAGCAGGAGGATGTGGGGACTGATATATAAGCACATGGCATGATTAGTGATGTGTGGCAAAGAGCTCTCCATCTAGAGTGGAGATTTGCAAATCCAGATGTTTACAGAGGGACAGGAATTAAATTACACCATCTAGTTACAAACTGCCTTGTTAGTCAATGTCATTGAGATCCAAGAGGACAATGGTCATTGAGATACAATGGAAATGGTATCAAGGTATTAACAAACTCTAATAGATGTTGCAGATGTTAGTTTGAAATGGATATATTTGTTAAGCAGATCTCTTTGGTGTTTGCTTTTAAGAAAGAACTGTTGTGGATGTGGTGAAAATATGTGAACTGTCCATTGTGTGGTAACTCGCCCTGACCTCAATATTGACAGATTGCCTGCAGACTAGGAGTTTGTAGAACTCCCCTAATGTTTCACCCAAGGTTAAAGAAAAAAAAAGAAAACCAAACAACTTGGAAATAATCTGGAGGGAAAAAAAAATAATTGAATTATCCTCATCAAGTCCCTGAAGCACCAGTTCAGGACTGGTTACTATCCTGCTCAGATCATGAGAGAATTGCTTATTTTGTACCAGAAAAAAAGCTATGGTGACCAAAATAACCTGGTTTTTTTTACCTCTTACAGAAGCAATCGTGAAGCTCATAGGTACTGAAGTTTTATCTGTAGAAACCAAAATATAGTTTAGCCACAAAGCAATAGCAGTATTACCTGCCCTCCATTACACTGTCAGTGAGCCTTAATCCTGTTGTAGGAAAATCATCCTTAAAACTCAGTCTCACTACACATTTAACTTCAGCTTCACTCATGAAGTCTCTGAGGAGGATAAGCAGAAGCTGCTCTGGAAACAAGTACCGAGAATTCTACTGGAAACCTTTATATTTCCTTCAAGAGTATAATTTAGCAAGACTTTAGCTCACTGTGTATAAATTCACCTTTTCACAGACTACTTGCCTCTTGATTTAATCCTTCTTGAGTAAGAGATGCAAGGTCTGGTCCATAACTGGATAACTTATATGAAATGGAGTTTGTTCAGAATTCTGAAAATGCAGTTTGTTCACTGCTATATTAGTTTATGAACTATAAGCAGCAAAAAGCAATTCAGGGATTTATATATGCCCATATAAACTTAAGATACTTGTCTTCCCAAGCATCTGCTGGGATTCTGTACAAAGTTTGAAGATGTGTGAAAATGAGATTTAGAACAAAACAGCTTTTGCTGATCCATCCAGTGCTCTATCTAGAACCATCTGATTTGCTCTTGTAAGAAAGGTTTTCATGTATTTATGGTGATTTGCTTATGGTGTCACCTTCAGCTTCCACAGCAAGCAATTAAGGTATCAAGAGCAGGCTGAGTTCACTGAGAATTGCACAGCAGAAGCAGATGCACTGCTAGGGTGCCATCCAGCAGAATTATCTGTAATGCTCCACACTGTAGAATAAAAAGGGCCTGGGACCTGCAGTGCCACTTGCCTGCCTGTGCAGGTTGTACTCAGCAGAGAAAAACCATAAAATGGCACAGACAGGTTTGGGGGCCAGGAGAGAACAGCACCAGGCCAGGGATGGACAGCCAGAGAGTACCTGTGCTTTCTGAGGTGTGTGCCTGACAACAGCTGCCAGGTGATAATTTGTGTATATTCCTGTCTTCACCTTCTGTAATTTTATTTGATCAAATCAGGTTGCTTCCCAACATTAACCATGCACTTTGTTCTACAGAAAAATAGTTCTGATTTTCACTTTTAGGTCTTGCTTCTGGCTAGAGAATATCAAACAACCCTATGTCTTCATGTGTTTTGTAATGTTAAAAAAAACCTGATAAAACATTGAAATAAAAATTCAGCTTTTACAGTTCACATTTTTGGCAAACCCGAGTCTCAGGAGTGGGAATTTTTGATGGATACATGTAGTTACAAACAGAAGGTCAAAGGGAAAAGAGTTACACAGTCTTAACCAAAGTGGGGATTGCAGCAGTAAATTAATGTCAAATTATCTACTTTGAAGGATCCTTGGGCTACACAGGTAGTAGGGCTTGTATATTTTGAAGAACAAAACAGCTTATTAAGATAACTTCAAAATAAATTTCATCTGCTGCATTTTACTGTCTGCCTGCAATACAATATTTGACTTCTGATCTCACATATATATATTACATAGGGCAGCTTTAGAAATGGGAAAGAATATTAGTTCTCTGCTAAGGGCATTTGAAAAATCCATCCCTGAGACAAATATTAAACATTCTGGTTTATAAAATTGTAAATGTCCGTGTGTAGCATAGCACTATCAAGTTGTTGGGTTTTTTTAAGTAACACTGGATTTCAGTCTTACCTTGAGATATCTGTTTTATAGCTACATTTACTTATGCCATTGACTTGCATTGACATACATTATGGTATTGACTGATGATGTCGGAGAATTTATTACTTGCATGGAATATCGGCAGATTTTCTTTCAGGTACAAAAATTTCCTAAGTGAGCGATGATGCCAAGGTCAGGAGCTTGATTTGTTTTTCTTGTCATAGACTTCTGTCAAAACAAATGCATTGTTACAAACGAATAATTCAAACTGGAAACTAGTTGCCATTCAGATGGGTAATTATATTTTAACAGGGCAAAATCCCAGCCCAAGCTGCCAGAGAAGGCTCAGCTAAAGCCAGCACGGGCTGGAACAGCGTGTGTGCTCAATGTAATTGTAAATGGGGCCACCCGGTCGTGCTGCCTCTTCAAACTTAAAAGAATTAAGACCAAAGCTGTCCAAATGTTAACTGAAACTCCTAATAATTAAGGGTTATTAGGGGCTGCTGGCTGGCTTTATTTTCTACTGCAGTGCACTTGTGCTTGTGGATTCTGTTTATACACAGAATTAAGAGCTCTGTTTGAACAGGTAATCCAATCTCCTCTGTGTAATTTAGCCAATGATTTTTTTTTCCCTGGCCCTTAATTTTGGCTGTGTTTCATGATGTACAGTGCAACTGCAATACTAAAAATAATCTCATTCAACATACTTTATCTGAAAGGATAAATCAGACTACCTTACAAATGCTGGGTAAATTTCTGATTTTTTTTTACTTACGAAGGAAGCCCCAGAGATGCTGAGGGGAATTTTCCGTGTGCATCTTTCCCTCTAGTGGCTGTTGCTCTTGGGGAAAAGCAGCAAGAGCAACATTTCTGCACTTCTGTATTGGGTACAAAGGGATGGCAGGATGGAGGGAAGGAGACAGGTAGACAGACTTTTGGGCAATTAAAATCTTGTGATGAACCATATGAAGACAAAGATACACAATAGCCATGGATTTGACTATATTTTCATGGAAAATGCAATGTGTTCTTAAAATGTTGTAATAATTTTGATCAGTTGCATGAAGATCAGTTTCTCAGCCACTTCACAGTCTCTCACACTGATCCTTTTTGTTGGTCTGTCATTTTCCCAGTGCTTGCATGCTCATGGAGTTGGAAAATACCTCAGTGACAGCCCATAAACCAGCTGTCGTTCATGTATCCATTCCACACACCTTTCTCCTGTTTGCTAAACACTTTATTTTGTCTGTCCTTTTCTTTTTGGCAACATTAAACCCACAGCCAAGTGTCCATGCTCATTGTTTCCTTTGGGCAATGCCTGCTCTGGGATTAGTGCCTATCACACACCCCAGCAGCCCTTCTCAAATTGCTCTGGTAAAGGGATCAGTTAAAGCCATGAATCCACAATTGTTCAGAGGGTGAAGTGACTGAGACAGCACTGCAGAAACACAGCTGACCCAGGTAGAAAACACAGCAGCAGGGGGACAATCACCACGTGGAATATTTCATTATTGTTTATTTCTGGTCTGCATGCAGCAGTGAG